ACCTTGGCCCTGGCTGGTTGCCCTGAAATCAAAGGTTGCTCTTTTGGATTGGGCTTGAAACAGGGAAAAGCTTACTCCATACTTACACTGGGAGTATTCAGTAAAATACCCCAAGCTTCTACAAGCCAGACTGTTGCCTGGCATCTCCACGTTGCTCTCAGAGTCCATGGCTACCAGGGACAGAATGGAAGAAGGAAAGAGAGGAGAGCCATCCCCGATACCTGCACCTCTCAACTGGCCCCAGGTCCCCACAGCAGCTGCTGCTACCAAGGCACCAAAGCTGCAGCCGAAATGAACAGGCAGCGTGGAGAGGAGGAAAGACGCTGATTTTGTCATCAGCACAGTCAGGGTTCGCTGCGGTCATCTGGCAGGTATGCACACTTTGTTTGTGCCAGCCCTGGAGAGACACGGTGTGTCAGGTGTGCACCGTGTCCTTATAGATGTCATGATCCTGTTGGGAAGAGAGACGTGTGAACAAGCTGTGACGTGGAGGATAGAAGAAGAACTCTCCTGGAAATGCCGGAGAGGCCCTCCCAGAGCGTGAGCCCCTGAAAGACGAGAAGGAATGTGCCAGGCGAAGAAGTACCCCTCTGGGTAAAAAGGCAGAAGGAACACGCCAGTTATTTTTGTGCCCTTCCCCAAAACAACTACACTGAAGAGATTTCTTATCAAAATTTATATAAGGTTGGGGAGTACAGGCAAGTAGAATAATAGAAGCAACTAAATTTAGAAGGTTGGAAAGCAGATGGACACGTGCAAACTGATTCAGCAGACGCAAGACAGCTAAACCCTACACCCACAGTGGCGAAAACCGAGAACTACCCTTTTAACACCAGAAAATCCCCAAAGGGCATAAGTGCTGACAGCCAAGCTCTTCTGGACCTGGGGGCAAAGAGGAAGGAGGAAAAGTTAAAAGGTGCTTAAAAGGTGCTCTCTGGAATGCTTCACGCACTGGGTACCCACGGGTGCCCGCTCCTTCGCCGCCACGGAAGACAATGTTACTGTCTGGAAATGTAGAACTTTGCCCTGAGGTAAACCAGCAGAACTGAGGGCATGACCATTCTATGAAAAACAGAAAAATGTAATAGTCACATTCTTAAAATAAATGCCTCGTGCTAAGAGCCCACCCAGCCCGCTAATTTGCATAACTGCCAGGAAACCTTTTACAGGGAATCCAGTTAGCCCAAGAGGAAGGAACTGAAAAAACTTACTTTGCAGTTCCCAACAGTGACTTCCCTACAGGGAGGATCCAGGTTTTCAGGCCCCTCCTGCTTGCTCGGAACTTCCAATCGCTTTTTAGTCTCCTATTCTTTTTTGTTTTTTTAGAGATGGGGTGTCACTCTGTTGCCCAGGCTGGCGTGCGGTGGCGTCATCATAGCTCCCTAAAGCCCTGAACCTCTGGGCTCAAGCTATCCTCCTGCCTCAGCCTCCTGAACAGCCAGGACTACAGGTGTGCGCCAGCGTGCCCAGCTAGTCTCCTACTCTTAATCTGTACCTGACAGCCAAAGATTCCTAGATATCTGAGGAAAGCCCGTAATAGAAGACGAAGGACGAAATAAAATTAAACAGAAAAAAAGCAAGTAGGAAGAAACACTATGCAGAGAAAAGGAACCTTTTTTAAAACTATGATTAATAGTCTCAGAGAGCTAAGAGAAGAAAAGAGGATGCTATAGAAAAGGATTTTAAAAAGCTCTTAGAAATTAAAAATTCAATAGAGGAGCTTTAAGATAAAACTGAGGAAATCCCCCAGAAAGTAGAGCAAAAAGACAAATAAATGAAAGGGGAAGAAAGGATAAGAAAATGAGGGAACAAGTCCAGGGGAACAGATATCCAAACAGGAGCTCATAAATTGAGAACAAAGAAAACAGGAGGATAAAATCAACATCAAAATAGTCCCAAATTTCCCAGAACTAAAGGCTCTCAGTTTCCAACTGAAAGCATTTAAGCACGTCCCAGGATGAAGAGACCCATATCAAAATACGTCATTCTGAAATATCAGAACACTCTTAGAAGCTTCCAGGAGAAAACCTGGTCACATGCAAAGAATTAGGATCAAACTGTCTTCCCACTGTAAACAGCAACATTGGAAGCAAGAAGACAGAGGAGCAGTATCTTTAAAATTCCTAGGGAAAATTATTTTCAGCTTAAAATTCTATAGCCAGACAAGCTCTCCATCAAAAGATATTTCAGACACAAGCAGTCCAACATTTACTTCTTGTGTACTCTTTCTAGAAAGCTACCAAGGCCATGCATGGTGGCTCATGCCTGTAATCCTAGCACCTTGGGAGGCTGAGGCAGGAGGATCGCTTGAGGCCAGGAGTTTGAGACTAGCCTGAGCAAGAGCAAGACCTCCTTCTCTACAAAAAATAGAAAAATTAGACAGATGTGGTGGCGCATGCCTGCAGTCCCAGCTACTTGGAGGCTGAGGCAGGAGGATCACTTGAGCCCAGGAGTTTGAAGTTGCAGTGAGCTATGATGACTCCACGGCACTCTAGCCTGGGTGAGAGAATGAGACCCTGTCTGAAAGAAAGAAAGAAAGAAAGAAAGAAAGAAAGAAAGAAAGAAAGAAAGAAAGAAAGAAGGGTAGAGAGGAAGAAGAAGGGAAGGGAAGGGAAGGGAAGCAAAGAGAAGGAAAGGGAAGAAGGGAAGGGAAGAAGGGAAGGGAAGGGAAGGGAAGGGAAGGAAGGGAAGGAAGGGAAGCGAAGCTACAGGATGGCAGTGAAGGGAGATCCTAGGGAGATCCACACAGAGAAAAACTAAGTCACATTGAAGCAGAGTGACTCAGAGGGGAGAGCGGTCCTGGGTTGCCCATGACCATGCTCTTTGCTACTGCAACGTCTTCGGGACCTGAGGACACCACTGGAGGCAGTACTTCAATAAAGCCAGGAAATAAACCAAGAAAGACCCAGAAAGCTGGACTGAACCCAGGAAAAAGGCAAAGGCAAGACCCAGGATAACAGCTGTGCATCAGGCCTACGAGGTCGCCAGTTCGGATAAAAGAAGAAATGGAGATCTCCAGAGGGGTGTCTCCAGGGGAAGAAACAGATCACCGATGGCATTGACCACTGGAACACTGTATTGGGAGGCTATTAGAAGGTATGAGAAAAATTAGCAATAGCAACTATAAAACCAAATAAATTAAAAACTAAGGAAAGTACTAACCTTAGGAAAAACAGAAGAAAGAAAGAAAGCATAGTATCCTGTAACGTTCGGTTATGAATAATATCACAGAGGCATAATAAGGTAAATGGTAAATGTTGATATAAGCAAAAATTATGATGTAACTATAATGAGAAGATAAGTTTAGGAAAACAGAGAAAATGATGGTGTAAAAGAGCTCATTCCTTATCTACCATAACAAGAAGATATAATAACAGTGACCATCTAAACTTGAATACTCAGAAATATTCACTTTACTCAGCATGATGAAAATGAAAAGTATACTGGCCAGAAGGGACAGCTAACAGCTGAGAACAGTTGCTTCTGGGAAGATGAACTGGGAGGCGTGAACTGCTGTATTTCAATATATGCCTTTTAATATAATTTGAAGTCTTAAACTGTGTACCTATATTAATCTGGCACAATAAAACGTAATTTTCTTTAAAAAGAAGAGTTAAGGGGTTTTTACACAGAGAAATAGCATCTGCAAGATCATGAAGTAGTGAAAGGACTGGGTTTTTCTAGGAAACTGTCAGTGCCACAGACACACTGGGGACACAGGCACAGGCCCACAGCGACGGACGCTGCAGAGAGAGAAGCAATGTCTCCTCCTCCGCAGTTCTGTGGACTCCGGCAAGTCATCTAGCCTCTTCCAGTTTCTTCCTCTGTAACATTTGACTAAAAATAGTACTTACCTCACAGGTTTTGTAAGAATCCAATGACAATGGGAACAGAGGGCTTGTGAAATGCATCATGCGGTACAAAGGTAAGGGATGCGGGCCTGTCTCTGGTCCCTTGGAGCAGAGAGCGTTCTCTGCCTGGAGCTCAGAGGGCTCTGGGTAAGGGTGAGAACTGCCCATGGGAACCCAATCCCAGAGAAGCTGTTTCTTGGCTGGGGTAGACAAATCCCGCAGAATCAGGGACTGTCGCAGCTGGAAACCACCAATGCCTTGATTTAGAAAAGACAGGCTCTCAGAGGGCGCCTGGACCTGGGACCCTTGAACTAGTGTCTGCCCCGCTGGGAGGGGTAGGTGCCCATGCGTGGGTCCTGCAGGCCCTGAGGGAGGTCAGGCTGGTGCAAGGGAGACTGCTGGGTGGTCCAGGGGAGGGGCGATGCCTGGAGCCAGCTTCCTGGCACTGCCACCCCCATCCTCCCTCCTCTTCCACGGAGAATCACTCTTGCCAGTCTGTTGCTTCAAATTCCACCACGGAGCTCAGTGGAATGCAAATAATACCAGTCTTAATGTCTAACAGTTACCTGGCATTCACTGCGTGCCAGGTACTATTCCAAATGCTTTGCAGGTATTAACTCACGCAGCCTCTCACAACCCTACGATGTTTGTGCTGTTATTATCCCCACCTTACAGATGAGGCAGCTGAGAGGTCATGCAACCTGCTCAGTATAAAAACTAGAAGGGAATGATACCGGATTGCAAGCCAGGCATCCTGCCTCCAGGGTTGGCAATCACTACATGTCACTGCCTCTCAGCGACTGAGCCTCAAACTGCTCAACTGTAAAATGGGGACATTCGGGGAGAGGGCCTCAAAGATCTCTTTCAGTTGAACTAAGATTGGGCAGTCATGTCATAGGCCTGAGGGTGAGGAAGCTTCACTGAGGACGGGTTTGGAAGGAGGACAGCAGGGTCCAGGCTCCAGAGTGGGAGGAGCCAGGGACAACAGGCCACGCGGGAGAGTAAGCTCCAGGGAAAGCTGAGAAAGCAAATGTCAGCTTGCAGCTTTATACACACAGCCCACCACCCCGCCACGCCTGTCCCCACGGCCTCCGTGGACCCTGCTCTGTGCAGAGGCCCTGGCGTGGAGCACGCAGACAGCCTCATTACCTGTGACGATGCAGGTGAACCTGACGTCGCTGTCCTCGGACACAGCCCGGGACTTGAGCGTGGTCTCGAACAGCGGCTGGGTCTCCTCTGTCAGCTGAGCGATGATGGAGCAGAAGGTGCTCCTAGGAAAGGCAAGGAGCTGTTCAGAGCTGCCCTCCCCACACACATACCAGAGCCTGGCCTCGTCCAAGGCCGCCTAAACCTTACCATGCCTGTCCATCATCCTGTGGCCAGAGCTCCAGCCCTCGGGCAAGTCTGTCTTCAAGGCAGCCTGTGCCTCTTGCTGGGTTAGGGGCAGGGATGGCACCAAAGGACTGTGTGGACTCCTGACCCAGTCCCGTCACAATGGGCAGGCTGCTGACCACGGGCCATGCTCCCAAGCATGCCAGACTGCCAGCCCAGATGTCCCCATCCCGTCCTCACTGGGGGCCTTGCTTGACCCTCCCTTTCATCTCCAGGGAAGCTGGTGCACGGGGGAGACACACACATGGACAGGTCAGGCCTCAGAGATGGGGCCCCCAGCATAGCAGAGCCTCCGTTCATGCCAAAGAGGGAAAAGCCAGCCAGCCCTCAAGGATTCAGAGCTCCTAAGAGCTTGGGAGCCTTTCCTAGAGCTTGTGCTCAGAAATAAGCGTCTCCATTTGTGAGCACAGACTCATGGTGGACCGAGAAAAAGCTGGCCAATGCCAGGGGTCTAGACCCAGAGGTGGACTCTAATTGCTAGGGGTATCAGAACAGAGAGACTCAAATGAATTCTGATCCCAAACAGGGCTGTGGGACAGCGCTGCAAAGCCAGCTGTGGCTCCCCTGCTCCAGCCCTGGCTCCCGCGTGCCGTAGTGAAAACATGGGTGGCAGCTCCTGGACCAACCAGCAGGATGGCCAAACCACAGAGATCCACCCCTGCAAAAGCCAGAACTTTTAGTTCCCCGGTGACAGTCCATCTCCCAGATTTCAGGGGCATCTGTGGGCTTACAGAGTCCAGCCCAAACTCACCACCAATGCTCAGGGCTCACAGTCTTCTCCTTCCTGGGCCCAGGAAGCAAACCACAGTGCCAAACCCTTTCACGGGCCAGCACAGACACGGTGCGTTCCTAGGCGTGAAGCGCCACGACAGAGCCACGCTGTGTGGTGCACGCATCGCATCCCCCTCCCCCTCCCCAGGCACACACCCTCACGTGAGCAGCAGGGAGGACTGTGAGGGGTAAGTGGACAGAAGCAGGAGGAACCGTGGTGAGAAAGACAAGTCATTCAAAGGTGCCTTCCCTGTGGCACACAGGAAGGGGTGGTCAGTCAAGGGCAATGGCTGTCGCCCATGACCTCTCCAGCGGCCAAGGGAGAGTCTGCGGGAGCACAAGCAAACAGGGTCCATGACCCTGCACACCAAGGTGGGGAGGGGGTTCCACATTCATTGCATCTGCTCTGTGAATACCAGTCTAGACTTGAGTGTGAGGAGAATGGCTGCATCCCAGGAAAAGTGTCTGCAGTCAAGTAAGACTTCCAGACGGATGGGGGCCAGCCATGGTCTCTCCATGGGGATGCAGGGGGTTGGCAGGAGCCCTCTCCCAACAAAGACTACCCAACCTCTCACACACCTGAGCATTTGAGCTGGGTCTGCTGCTAAACATATTCTATACTCTTCCTGTGATGCTCTCTCACCTAGAACTCATCTGTCCAAG